ACATGCACACAGACACATACGCACAAGTTAAAGGTGACATGTTATGTCGCACTACCAAACATAGTTTTAGAAGTTAAAACATTGTTTCCATGGACAAACTGATCATTTTGCCTCAAACTCATACAATTGGTTGAACCAGTATTATTCTGTTTAACCCAGTCGGGCTGGTTTAAAAAAAACAAAAAACACATTGGAAATTCCATTTGATGCAACGCAGAAAATACATACTTAACCTTCAATTATGTATTCAGTTAGAACATATCTTCAGATCAAATACAACACAGCAGTGACCCTTTACACTTAGATCAAAGGAGTCACACACTCATTAAAAGAGTTGGCAAGATGGGCTTTTAACAAAACTTGACTGTCTATGCTGTAGAAACTCAAAAACAAAATGTGAAAGGAGAAAAAGGGCTATGGCATTTCCTTTTGCCAAAAACTTCAACACCCATAATGCACTTTTAATTTTGGCACTGCCCCTCTGTCAATCTGACTGTCCATGGGCGGGGATACAAAAATGCGGAACTTCAATCTGTAGTTTTAACAAAAGCCCTGGAGCTGTCAAAAGTCCTGGTGACTCAAAACGCATTATTTTTTGCTATTGAACAGAGAAATCTTGGGGCAGGTCACATGGAGAAAGAGTACACATTGTTCAATTACATATACTATCGACATTACAGCAATACAAAGCTGGTTGAAAATCTGTGAACTTATACTTTAACCCTTTGATGCATGAATTGTTAAAGGAACATTTAAAAAAAAAAATTTCAAAACAACAAAAATGTATTCGAGGGTGTTACACGTCTATCCATTCCAATATAAGAAGTTCTTGGTGCATCACCACTTTTGTCAGTTGAAAAATGAATTTCTATTGCCATAAATAATAAATGCTATGGCAGCATCTAAATATGCATACTTCCCTACTATATAGTATGCAAAAACAGTATGTGAAAATAAAACCGTAGGCAAAAAGTACCTGAATGACCTACTGTTTCTGGCGAGATTCTGAAATGCGCATCCAGTGGATACTTTACTATCCCATGAGGCCATGGGAGAGTGTAGCGAATCCCAGTGAAGCGATGCAACTGATACTGTAGGTCACATGGCAGTGACAACATGACAGATGTAGTATATCTGGATTACATTCATGCTATATAGAACATATTTTTTTAACAGTCGTGAAGTACTTGTTCAGACTAGAGTATACAATTTCAGATGCAGCCAATGACATTTAAAACTATGGGAAAGGGTCAAAGGTGATCAGTCATGGTGATTTGGAGGTAACATCACACCATGAATGGCTAAAATGGCTTTTGAAGATTTGTCCACTAGATCAAAAGGTTTAATATCTTCAATTGATTTTATTGGATGTGCTGTCATTACTTACACTATGTGCATGATTGTTTTTCAGTGCCAGTTCAACTTTGTGTGTGAGGCCATTCTGAGGGTGTACAGAGAGAGAATGAAAAAGAGCTCAACACCTAACAGTTGATAAGAAGAGAGGGACAGGAGGGGAGTGTTTGAAAACACACAAGTGAATGAAGAAGCTCCGCTGCTGTGATCCGACTCAATAAAGACGGATGAAAAAGGGGCAGGGAGAAGAGGGTGTGTCTGGATAAAAATGGATAGACAATCTCTTCTCTTGCTGTGGCTCTCTGACAGCTGTGCGGATCAAGGAAGAACATAAAGCACTTTGACATGTATAAGCTTATAGGGCCCTACAGCACACATACTCCCTCTTTCTCGGTCCCACACACACACCCCAAGTGCTATATTCAGGTGAATCTCACAAAATCTGTCAAGAAACGTTCAGGTCAAATTTCACCCTAAGATTAAGAGGAAAAACATGTAACTCATATTGTGCATAAAATAAAAACGTAGATCTAAAAATCTGCTTTTTACAATATTTAAGTTTCTCTCTTTTTTGGAATTAAAGGGGTCATATGATGCGATTTCATTTTTTCCTTTCTCTTTAGAGTGTTACAAGCTCTTTTTTCAGAGCAGTTAAGCACATTTTACTCCCCAATTTTCATTACTACATTAATCCATCCGATAATGTCTTTTTTATTGTATGACAGTAATGTGTTTTGCAATTATTTACTTAAAATCAATCCATTTTAATTAAAGGCTGAACAACAAATGCTACCATGATTAATTAAGACTTTAAAAATGCTTATACCATTTTGGTTTTTCATGTTACAGTAATAAAAACTAGACTTTGTAGTTTGTAATGAGAAATGGGGGGGTGATAAAATTAAAATTAGCTTGAAATGTCTTGAAAATTGTGCCAAAAAAATAAGTCATAATTGTAAACTTATTTTAAAAAAAAAAACTAAAATAAACTATTTTCTTTAAATATACATTTTTTTCATTTTGATTTTGAGGGTAAAGTGTGACGTGTACACTTCTTTGTGAGATTGATCAAACCACTACTAGAATAATTAAATACACCTCTGTTAATAAATAAATAAAATGTGTAATTCTTATCACGTTGTGCCTCTTCTCTTATTCATGATGATGGCTTGTGGGGAGCTCGAATGAGCGTGCGTGAAATGCTGACGATTGGGCGCATACTGTTTCCTGATAGCAGACTTGACGCACTTCAGAATCAGAATCAGAATCAGAATCAGAAGAGCTTTATTACCAAGTATGTTTACACACA